TGGAACCAAACCTTAGTGCCAATGAGAACATGGCCAAATCTACATGCCAGCTTTGAAGAATTAGCCTTAGGATTCATGGTAGTGACTTCTCTAGTCTCAGCTACCTTTATAGGCTGCTGTAGAGGTCAAACAGTCCTTTATATTGCAGCTCTCTTTGTTTTTAGTATACAAAAACTAGAATGGATTGCTGTCTTTGAACTTTTGAGATTTCTATTCACCACCAACAAAATTAAGATTTTGTTTTATTTATTTATTTTATATGAGAGTTCCTACAGCTAAGGATGAGTTGCATAAATCCCTTAATTTCAATTGCTTAGTCAATGAATTGTAAAAATCATGCTTCAAGCAACAGGAAGATTATTTGCCAGTTAAGGAAGACTTGGCTATTTAATTTGCCTAGTGGAAGTTAACAGTGTATAAATACTTTTCAAATGAAACTGGTGAATTTAAGTTGATTAACAGCCTGATCATAATGGTTGCAAAATGAGCAAATAAACATCTAGGACAGAGGTAGGCAACCTTTCCCCTTTAAGGGCCGAGGGACTTCAGCTCCCAGAATCCCAAGAGCTATTGGCCAACATGGGACTGTTGGCCAACATGGCCGAGGCTTCTGGGAGCTGAAGTCCCTTGGCCCTTAAAGGAGAAAGGTTGCCTACCCCTGATCTAGGAAGAAGCACTAAAATGGCAGTTCTAATACTGAGTTGCTGTTAGTGGTATAGATAAGGCTCATCTGTTGCTGACCCCTGCGATTTCCCCAAATGCAGAACTCAGGATTGACCCAGGCCCTGATATTTCCAAACCAAAATCTGAGACCTAGGGACAGTACCCAGTTATGTCATTAAACATTGTTCATTAAGTATCAACCAAAATGCTTTTACAGTAAGTTCCCTTTATGACAATAATAATATATTCAAGCACATCCTTAATCTTCCAGTTGAAACCAGAATGCTCTCCTTTTTGTTGAAGTCCACAGAAGTAAAAAATGCTGAAGCATGGCTCAATCATACCATTAA